CCTAACAGTCATGTTTTTGGACTAATAAAGTAATTCTGATCAGTGTCTTTTAAATATTCAAATCAAAAGGTATAGATCTCTAGAAGGAAGCAGCTTATCTTTATTCACCTCACTCCCTCTCATGCTGGTCTTCCTTCACATTTCAGTCCTGTTCTGTGGAATACCAAGAAAATAAACAACGGGCCTTAACTTGATCTCTGGATACCAGAGAACACAGAACTGTTCAAACAGACGATCCAATACAACTCTTGGCCTTGAGAAAGACCAGAACAATGAAGTAAGTGGTGAAAAGCTGAAGCGGTGCCCGGTGTTAGCTCAACGAGCCTCTGCGACTCCTGCAGAGCCGACATGTTTGTTTACTGGCAGCAGAACCGCAGTGGAAAACACAAACACTCTCACAGACAGAGAGACTGATTCTGATTAGCAGACAGCCTGGGGCTGGAAGGCAGACAAACCACTAACACTACAGAGGCATTATTAAAACTCATCAGCTGTGATACCGATGCATTCAGTCATCGGCAAAGAGAAAAAAAACTAAGATTCCTGAGAGCAACAGAAACCCTGCCAGGAAACCTACATGATCACAATCAGAGGGTCAGAGGTCAAAGCTCCTCCACCGTCTCTGATTATCTTAACAAGCAGAGAAAGTTAAACACAAACAAGAAACACGCATAATATATATTAATAATATTAGGGACGAAAAATTCAAAAAAATGAACTGATCCAATAAACAACAGGAAATAAAGCAAATACATTTGGAAAATAAAGAAAATACTGTTTTATATCTGCAACAGTCTGAAGTAATAAAACATTTTTTTCTCTTTAAACAAAAAAACTATCATAAATATATAATCATGTTAGTTTATGTCATTTGAAGTCATAGGGAAGAAGCTGTTCCAACGGTTGCAGTTCCAAATTCTCCCGAGTGGTGCCCGAATTTACACGGATAAATAAAGTGAATGTGATTGGTTGATTATTAAGGGGGCGGGATTGTTGTGGCGGAGTTTTTGAAA